TTGGCCAGCAGGTACTTTGCACCTGAATGAACGTTCTCAGGAAGGTTTGTTTACGCAATGTGGGTTTTGTGCAAACGTGGCTTAGTCATCAGCTCATTAGCTCAAACTGATCAGCTAAATAACTAAACAGAGCCAACAGTGTGTAAAGGAACAGCCCAGCAGTGTCATCTCAACCTAATCTGTTACACATGTAGGATAGAGTTGTTTACCACAGACAGTAATTTTGACATTTTTCTGTGTTTAGCAAAAGAACAGATAACCGTTCGACTCAAAACACATTTATAATTGAAGCCAAAGGGCAGGTTACAGGAGCAACTGATGCTACATATAGAAATAAATTTGAAAAATGCTTTTTTTTAAGGACCAAGTTCAACTATGACTCAAACAACAATGGATTCTGAAAAAATATGTTTTGGGCCCAAAACTTACCTCAAAACTATCGTTAAACAATGTCTCATGTATCAGGCAGTGTATTCCTGACCATTTCATGTAATAACTTAAAGCGAGGGAGCTTTTAAAGGCATTAAACTCTTCAGACATCTGGTTCCTATCACCACCACTGTGAACATTTCTGACTCTGTAAGTTTCTCCAAAACAGAGGATTTCAAATCAAAGCACTCTGGATGACTCTGTTTACACCTTAACCAGTTATCTTTGTAGAACTTTTGGTAAAATTGGTGGACTTTCTGATTGTAACTATGCTGAGAATTTGCCATTAGGGTTTAACTGAACTGGTCAGATCTGAACCGAATGACAGTTGGAGTTGATGACTGCCCAAAGAAAATTTGAGTATATCTCAAATCATTACAAAATGTAAATGCAATCAATCAGAAACTTTACAGTAAATTACAGTTTTTTACAGTAAATTTACAGTAGTTTTTGGGGGATTTGATAACTCTAAATGCTGACAGCAGCAATGTAAGAGGAGGCCATATACTCACAGTGTGTGGTGTTAAGATGGCTGAATGTCTTTAGCGGTTATTCCCTTGAGCAAAGAGCAGCCCAAACAGTGTAATATTACTCTCACAAACACTAGTCTCTCTCTCTCTCTCTCTCTCTCTCTCTCTCTACTTCACTGTCACTCTCTCTCGTCCTGGTACTCTGCCGTGTTCTGGTGGCTTGATAAATCGCTCGGTCTCTCACTTTCTCTGTTGAGTCCTGCCATCCAAAATAAATATTTAACAGCCCAGCTGCGTAATCAACAACTAAAGGTCATATCCCTCTTGCTTCCCCTCTCTCCCTTTTTCTTTTCTTCCCTCCCTCCTCCTCTTCACAGAATGCTAGAAATGCACTACTGCATCTTAAACATAGCCAAATGTATTTTCACAATGATCAAGGCTAGTGCATTTCTTCAGAGTCATGATTTTTCTGTTGTTTTGGAGCAGCTGACGAAGTGTCATTGCCCTACACCTAGGCTGTAACTTGTATCTGCTGCCCTCTGCTGCACGTCTTCCAATCTCAATGCCTCCCTTTTGGAAACGCATAATTTGAATGTAGATGCCATTATTTAATGATCCATGGAACAGAAGGAATAAGGTGGTATTTGAAACTCAGCCTCACGACTTGGGCTGAATCCCAAGTGTCTCTCTAATTGGAATATAGTGCAACATTTGGATGTAGAGGTTTCATTTCATGACCTATGTATTGGGCTATTTGGTAGATGGCACGACATTAAGATTCAGTCTTAAACTTGCATCTGCCGCCCTCTGCTGTAAACATTAAGGCCATACATAAATAAAAGTCCTTTCAGGAGCCCACTAGCCTTGTATATGCATGTGTCGAAAGTACAACAATGTATTGTACGAAATACAAAAGTATTTTTATTTACATGCATTTGTTACTTATGTTGATAGTCATTTTGCGGTTTTGGTGTGAGGTTTGCTATTCAAAGACTAATGTTAGCTTAGGTCTTAGACCCTTAGATCCTGATGTGGAACATTATTGTTATTAATATAACATTACAAGTTCTTTCATAATACTGATATTCTTTATGGTGTACCTCAGGGGTCAATTCTAGGTCCAATATAATTCTCATTGTATTTGTCTGTCGTTCATTTCTTACTTTTTGTAGTGTTTGTTTGTTGTTCATTTTGTTTACACTGATTTACAGTTTTATTTAAATACATTGTGAAGCACTTTGAGCATATTTTAGTGATATATTAATAAAGGTGCTAAGACAAAGTGTTGGCTAGCCAGGTGTCAATGGTCAAAGAAGCTCACTGAATTTTGAAACATGACCTCTGTCTTTAGGTTGCGCTCTTCGCAGCACAGAAACTACATCTTAGTGATGGTCATATTTGTACCAATTCCTTCTTGCCGTTCTCTACTCATTTATTAAACCTCTCCCTTTTCTACATATGCAGTTTCTTAATGAGAGTATCTCCTCTGGTGGGTTGTCAGGTTGTTTCATTTTCTTTTTTTCGTTTTCTAAATCATAGTTGCCTTTTGGTGAGCAAGCCTGATCCAGACTGTTGAGAAGAACCTTTTGAGTCCACTAGATGACACAGCCGGTTTCTCTACTAGAGAGGCTTGAATGTGCTGTGCTTATGAGCACAAATTATGGAATGATCAAAGGTAAATATATAAACAGTTCACTTAAACAAAATAAAGAAGTTGTAATGATTTTGATCTCTAAACAAAAAAAAAATTAACAAGCAAATCAGACAGTCTCTGATAAAAAAACAGTTTTGAGGTTTTGGTGAAAAAAGGAAGTCAAGTGATTAAACAGGCCAAGATCGAAACCAAGAGACAAAAAACAAAAGCCAAAAGGGACAGCCAGCAGAAGGTCAAAAAATGCAAGAACAAATCGGGTGATGGTAAAATAGTGGTAAATCTTAAATAATATGTTTAATAATAAGGGACTATTTTGCCTTACAATGCCATCCACCTCTCTGCCACGAACGGATTCTAAAAGACTATGTTTTAGACCAAAGGCTTATCTCAAAACTGTCATCAAACAATGTCTCACGTATCAGGCAGTGTATTCATAACCATTTCATGTAATAACTTTCTGTAAGGGAGCTTTTAGAGGCTTTAAACTCTTCAGACGTCTGGTTCCTATCACCACCACTGTGAACATTTCTGTCTCTGTTAGTTTTTCCAGAATGGAACATTTCATACCAAACCGCTCTGGATGACTCTGTTTACACCTTAACCATTTAACTATGTAGAACTTTTGGAAAAAATGGTGGACTTTCTGATTATTTCTGTGCTGAGAATTTGCCATTAGGGTTTAATTGAATTGGTCATATCTGAATTGAATGACAGCTGGAGTTGATGACTGCCCAAAGAAAATTTCTAAATTATTAAAAATAAATTTCTAAATTATTGCACACTTTAAATGCAATACATTTACAGTAAATTACAGGTTTATTACAGTAGTTTTGGGGGGATTTGATAACTCTAAATACTGACAGCAGCAATGTAAGAGGAGGCCATGTACTCACAGTGTGTGGTGTTAAGATGGCTGAATGTCTTTAGCGGTTATTCCCTTGAGCAAAGAGCAGCCCAAACAGTGTAATATTACTCTCACAAACACTAGTCTCTCTCTCTCTCTCTCTCTCTCTCTCTCTCTCTCTCTCTCTCTCCCTCTCTCTCTCTCTCTCTCTCTCTCTACTTCACTGTCACTCTCGCTCGTCCAGGTACTCATCTGGTACCCATCACTGCCACTGTGAACAATTCTGACTCGGTAAGGTTCTCCAGAATGAAACATATCAAATCATACCACTCTTTGTTTACATCTTAACCATTTAACCATGCAGAGTTGATGGCCACCCAAAGAAAAATTCGAAGATAAAAACAAAAAAACACAACAAGACAAGCAGAAAACAACACTCAGTATACTCAGTGAAACAGTGGTAATACTTTGCAAAGAAGTAGCTGATCAGGGAGAGGCTAATGCCTGAGAGTCATGTGATCCTCCTCTGAATTCTGGAAGTTGGAGTTCATGAGCAGCAGAGTCTGTGAAGTAACAGCTAAGTCGGAGGGTGGTGTGACCATAAACATGAATTGACAGGTTTCAGAGGGTTGGGAAAAACAGTGATGTCACTCTTAATCACATATTCAGGCCGACCACTGCTCAGGAAATATGTCTCTATATTCAACCTCTGAATCCATGATGCAAACATGTGTGTTTCTGAATCTAATAGTGCGTCACTCTTTCTTTCGAACTGGATTTAGCCTGCTGTTAAAAACTGTGACTAAACTGACTGTGAGTGTGACTCAGGGGCAGTCTGTGCACTAGACAGCAGTCTGTGGCCAATGAAAATGCAAAGTACATATACACCGATCAGCCTTAACATCAAAGCAACCTCCTTGTTTCTACACTCATTGTCCATTTTATCAGCTCCACTTACTATATAGGTGCACTTTGTAGTTCTACAGTTACAGACTGTAGTCCATCTGTTTCTCTGCATACTTTGTTACCCCCCCTTTGACCCTGTTCTTTAATGGTCAGGACCCCCACAGAACCATGACAGAGCAGGTGTTATTTGGGTGATGGATCATTCTCAGCACTGCAGTGACACTGGCGTAGTGGTGGAGTGTGAGTGAATGCTATGGTGGTACGAGTGGATCAGATACAGCAGTGCTTTTATTTAAACACCTCAGTGTCACTGCTGGCCTGAGAATAGTCCACCAACCAAAAATATCCAGCTAACAACCCTGTGGGCAGCGTCCTGTGACCACTGATGAAGGACTAGAGGATGACCAACACAAACTGTGCAGCAACAGATGAGCTACTGTCTCTGAATTTACATCTACAAGGCAGGAGTGTCTAATAGAGTGGACAGTGAGTGGACACACTGGCACAGGGCACTGTACATAGGTATTTTATCAATTGTGTCGGGTTGAAAGACACCATATATTCAGAAATACACCAGATATCAGGAATAGAAATGCCCACAGTATGGATTATTCTAATTCTAATGATATTTTTCTGAGTTGATGATCATTGTAATAATCTATGTTCAGTAATTCAGTCAAATAAACTTGACATGAACTGTGCGTTTGTTTTCTTTTTTTATTTGTAGTGTTGTACACTTGAATAAAACAATCACAGCTTAAACGTTCACACAATAATTAATACAAATAAACATAAAAATATATTTACTGTATAAATACATTATTTACACATCCTGTACAATTTTTTTTTACAATAGGATACAGTACAAAAAAGACAGCAAAACATTTACACAGTAATGAGAAATCCAGCATTCCAGTGTTTTGAAACATTTCAGCATAACTATGCTATACTGTTTGTAGTGGTTAATTTTCCAAAGCTGTTTTTACAAAGCTTTTAAAGTGCATTAGATAGAGTTGTAGCTCTGAAATGTAGCCTTTGCTGTGTGCACTAATATGTGTAATATTAACAAGCTGTAGAAACTAATGTAACATTGAAATGAAAGGCCTTTGATATGGTCACTGTGTCCTCCATTTCTCTCACTTTCAACTGCGTCTTTATGTGCACCCATAACAGTGAGCCGGATTTAAGCAATGACGACACAGCGGACATGTTCCAAATTCACTGACGACCCTCAAGGCACATTGAGAACACACACAGCGGTGACCACATATCAGCATCACATTCGCAATGCCCGAGTAACACACCACACACTCCTCCATGCTTTCATTACCTGAAGAGACAAAAGGAGAGAAAGCATGTAAGTGTAAGTACAACACATGACAAGCTGCGGTAAATGACTGTAAAGTGTGAAAGACTTTATTATTATTAATAAGAGTTTATTATTATTCAATTGAAAATATTTTAAATATTTTAAAATGATTGTTCACTATTATACATTGTCTGGCATACTAGTATAGATTGTTCAGTAACTACTGCGAATTTTTCAGTAACTACTATAAATTATTCAGTTAACTTTAATGAATTATTCACTTCCTACTATGAATTATTCAGTTACTACTGCAAATTGTTCAGGAACTACTGTGCATTATTCAGTTGCTACTATAAATTATTCAGTAAATGCTATTAATTATTTACTATCTACTATGAATTTTTCACAATGTACTATGAATTATTCAATAACTTTCATAATTTATTCAGTAACTACTATAAATTATTCAGTAAATGCTAAAAATGATTCACTCTCTACTATAAATTATTCACTATCTACTATAAATTATTCACCGTCTACTATAAATTATTCAGTTACTACTATAAATGATTCAGTAAATGCTATAAAATTTTCATTACCTACTATAAATTATTCAATATCTATTATAAATTATTTAAGTACTACTAAAAATCATTCAGCAAATGTTATGAATTATTCACTATCTACTATGAATTATTCGGTTTCTACTATGAATTATTCGGTTGAATAAATTATTCAATTATTCAATAACTACTGTGTGTTGGTCTGTAACTACTATAACTTATACATTAGCTGTTATGCATTATTCAAAAAGTAATCTAAATTATTCAGCAGCTACTACGAAATATTCATAGTATTATTAAATTTATAAAACTTATAAAATTGTTATATATTTATGCAGTGTGAGGAACTGAAGTGCGGCCCAACATATCATTAGAGGTTAAAGGGCATGATACACTGACCATTATGTGAACGCAAATGCTCACAAAAATGGCTAACAAAGACACAGCAAGTGTTTCATCTACACGGAATGGCCTAAAATGGAATTAAATAGGCTATATGTCCGTGGTGCCATTTGAGCTTGATGATTTTAGTAGGGTTCTTACTTGTGTTCTGGCTGTTGCTTTGCGAGCAGGGAAGACTCAGGTTCTCCTGATTCCCAGGTTCTCGTAGGCTTTTCTGGCCCATCATCCTCTCCAGTATCTTCATGGGGATTTCACTGTAGCCACAGTTGTCTTCTGTGGGTTCGACTGTGGGAGCAGGGCAGGACCGGCGTGTGCTGAACAGACACTTCTTAGCAGAGCCTGCAACATAAGAAAAGAAACCACGGTCAGTTCCCGAAAGTGGAACTTTGAGTGGTAAATATTTACAATCATGAATCTTGAGATCACCATCACTTAATGCCTTAAGACTCATTAATGACATCAATAAAAAAGGCTATTAAAGACTAAGGCTGTAAAAATGCATTGCTCTGAAGATCACAATTATAGCTGCTTATAATAATGTTAAATAAAATATGCGCGAATTTTTTGGCCAAAATGTATTTCCCATGTAATTACAGCTATAAAAATAATCTTAAAAAAGCTTGGTATATTATTTTTATTGTCGGTATTCTACTAAAGTGTTGCTCAAGTCACATTTGTGTATTTTGTGAAATAATTCTGAATCATATGAAGATAGCATACATTTTGGGATTTAGAGACCTCTCTGGTGGTATGAATATAAAAGTGTAATTGCATGCAAATTCTTACATAGTGCAGTTTTAAACAAATGCAATCAAATCTTTGTGATGTCAGAAATGTACAACAATGATAATAATGTGAAACAATGTTTGACATGTAGATTTTATACTGACCAAGTAAGAGGACAGCATTGGTTTGCCCGTAAACGTCAATCATCGCCCAGATTGGCTTGTGTGTGTCCACGCTGGTTTCCAAGCTGTGCTTCTGCCCATCATCTGTCTTTACATGTAGGGTTCCACATTGACTGACCCAGAAAATAAGCTCTGACCTCGGCAGGCATTGCTGCTCTGGCACAGGTATGGCCCAGTACCCTGGAGAGTTCGTCAGTTCGGGGATGGCGAGAGAGGGTATGGCTCTGGACCCGGGAGCAACACTAGTCAAGCCGACTCGCAGCGCGCCATGCCACGCCCTCACAGAGCGCTCAATCCGCACACACACTTTCTCCTTGATCCTCAGTGGTCGGCTGCTGAAGATCAGCCCGTGACGAAAAGATGAGGTGTCTCTGGTTGCCCGTCGGCCATCTTCACTCAGAGTCACTAGCTGCCCTTTGGCTTCTGAATGAAAAGTCAGTGGACCCAGGCAGCCGCTTCCACAGCCACAGCTGCCATGAGAATCTGGAAGTAACACATAAACACCTCGCATTAGCATCAGCTAATAAACATTAAACCTACTTGGCCCCTGACCAAATACATGTGGGCAATGTCCATCATGTGGTAACAAATAGTTAAAAATGACCTTGTATTAAAATGACCTCAAATTATTGTTTAATTTAGCTCCGATAAGCTTCAACAGCTAGTACAGCTAATTTCCCACAGGCTTCCATAAGACTTGGAATTAGCATTTACTTCTGTTTTCAAAGACGTGTAAAGTGTAAAATCAGTTTTCTGAGGTTTTTGTATGAGTATTTTAATGTATTCAGCAAAAATGCTTCCCTTAAATTTGTTTACCTCAGTTTAGCTTGATAGCTAGCATTGTCACTGTATTAACCCCTTAACAATCCAGGCTTATTACATGCAAAGGCTTGTTAATCTTACAACATGCCTTCTACTCTTTATCATCGCTTTAGGCTGTGAATATAAGCACAACCGTTAGAGACCTTTGCGTCAGCACTAGCAACCCTGCTAACAAAGCAAACAGCTTAGACCAGCAAGAATTCCAGGCTGGTCTAATCTTGTTTATGCTGGTTTATGTTGGTCTAGTCTTGGTTTAGCTGGTTAGCCTAGCGACTTTCATTGCTGGGTGGCTAACTATGCTAGTCTATGCTGGTTTTTCTGTCAGGATTATTTCTTATTTCTGTTTCATTCTAGGCCCCTGGATGGCATGAGGAAGTCTTGCTTTACACACTGTATCTTGCTTTACAAGCAAGGGTTTAACAAAAAAGAACAACAAAATCATGAAATAAATGCTAAAATTAGAAAAATGTTTTATCAGCCATTCCTCTAAGTGTTAGTTTGGATGGGCAGTGCTTGCAGTATCAAAATTCCAAATTCCTCTCACAGAAACAGCAGCAGTTTTTTGTCCTGACATGTTTAACTAAATCTAATTTTGTTGTTGTTTGTTGATGCAGTGAATCTGTGTCTGTGCGCACTGTTGTTTTGACCTACATCACCAACCTGTTTACAACACTGAAGAAATTTAAGGGAAACTTAAATTTATCTGAGAGCAGCTCATTATCCAGTACAGGGTGTGCTGGGTGAGCATCATTTTAATCAGGGTAATCACATTACAGTATTTCCACTGGGTTAAATTTCAACCCACTGGCTCAGATACCAAACTGTATTTAAAAAATGATTGTTATCTTTTATATTCAGCCATTAGAAGTCAGATCTTCAGTGCCAGTCCTTTTGCTTTAATTGACTCTTGCAATAGGCATCACCACATGACTCAACACAGTCTGGTAAAGCACAGTAAATGCGATTGCTCCATCTGAAACTAACCGTGCGATGTCATAACTGGCCCACATCACATGCATCTGTTTGAGTTGAATCAGATTCACAGATTTCTTTGACGACTATCAACACGACCTATTTTTTGTACAGAGTTAAATGTAAGAATTATAATTTGATACTATACTATGTTAAAATGTGCTATAATATATTAAACTATGCTACATTAGTATGTATAAGTATATGCTACGCTATATCAAACAATACTATATATAACTACAGTACACTATATATAACTACTGTACACTACGTTAAACTGTACTATATTACACTATATTAGTATATCACTGCTGCTGGAACAAAGCCTCATATCTCAGTTATGATATCATATATCATAGTTTTTCAAGTTTTGAAATAATTTGAAAATGCCTGTTGCCCTTTATGTTGTATGCAAATTTCATGATGAATGGAGCAACAGAAATGGCCCAAAATTACTGGTTACATTTACTTACATTAAAGGTACAGTATGTTTTTTTCTTCTCTTGTTAAGTTATCATTTTGAAGATGAGCAATTTGCTACACTATATTAAACTATACTATGATATACCAGTATATGCTACATTATATTAAACTATACTATGATATACCAGTATATGCTACACTATATTAAACTATACTATATCAGTATATGCTACACTATATTAAACTATACTATACTATATAAGTATATGCTACACTATATTAAACTATACTATACTATATCAGTATATGCTACACTATATTAAACTATACTATACTATATAAGTATATGCTACACTATATTAAACTATACTATACTATATAAGTATATGCTACACTATATTAAACTATACTATACTATATCAGTATATGCTACACTATATGAAACATTAAACTGTAGAACACTGTGTTAGCATATACTACATTATATGTAACTACAGTACACATAAAAATATAGTACACTATATTAACATACACAACACCATGTTGAACTATACTACACTATTTTAAACTATACCATCTTAAACTACATTAGTATATGCTACATTATAGTAAACTATATTACACTATATTAAACCATACTACACTTACCAGACTACACTAATCTATGCTGTACTATTTTAACATACACTATGTTATACTAAACTCTACTATATTAATCTAAAATATACTATACCATACTTCATACTTCTGTAAAGAACCATCCACTGGCAGATTCTTGAGGAAACCAAAAGTGGTTCCTCTCTGGCATCACTCCAGAGAACGAGAATGAGAAGCTTCATTTTAAGAGTGTACTAATAAAGTAATGGAGGTTATGGCTGTGAAACAGCACAGAACATTTTGTTTCTTTGTTTAAAGCTTCCAGGAACAAAAAAGGAGGCACACATACATGTAGTATGTCTCCACATTGCAAGCTTGTTGTGCGAAAAGATTAAAGTTGTCATCAAGTTGTTGCAACTTAAATAAAATCTTTACAATAACATTTATAAAGTAGTTAAAGGATTTCTTACCCTGGATTTGAACTCCCATCTTTGCCTTGTTCTTCTTGACCAGTTGAGGAGACGGTTGCATTCAGGTAATGTGAGCTGTAACAACTTCACTAGCAGTTAGGCAGTGTGTATGAAAGGGGGGAGTGTTCGCTGGAGTCTTATAGGACGGCGCACACGTGCTTCTGGTTTAAACCCAAAACATTACTCATCATAGGTCAGAAGCGAAAGGAGGAGGAGCCAGGCTCAGTGTTGGAAAAGTACCTACTTTCAAAAGAGGCCAAATCCGTTCCGTCTGCTGCTGGCATACTTCCAGGAAATGGCGTCCATATGACACCACTCCTTCTTTCAAACAGTTTGAGTGTGTGTGTGTGTGTGTGTGTGTGTGTGTGAACCATGTTTATGTCACATTGTGGGGACCAAAACTTGTTCATACAGTCACACTGGGGGGGGGCTGGGGAGCTTCCTTGTGGGGACCTCAAGCTAGTCCCCACGACGTAAATCATTTTAATGTGGTAAGGTTAGGGTCAGGGTTATGGTAAGGTTTGGGTACGTTTCCAGGAAAATGAATGGAAGTCTATAAAAATGGCCCCACAATTCACAGAAACAAGACTGTGTGTGTTTGTTTTCATACATTTTCCGCACAAAAATAGAGGAAAGTCTACAATCATCAAAACGGTCCTCACTTTGCAAAGTGCTTTTTACAAAAACTATAAGTTACATGTTTGTAAAATGCTTTTTTAAAGTTTTCTAGGTAAAGTTTAGGGTTAGGTTTAGAATTTGTTATGACATATAAACTAGCATTCAAAAGTGTGGAATCACATTATTTTACATGCAATAACAACTTAAATCATGCATATTTAAATATTCTTAATTAGACAACAAAAAGTAGTATTATATACTGTAATTGCCTAATTACAGGATTTTTTAGTTTTTGTTTTATGCAGTTGTCACTTTTGAGAGATAACACATCATGGATATTGCTTTTATTATAACTTCAAAAATTAATTAAAAAAAAAAACAATCAATTTTAGAATAATCTACAGCTCTGTTTATTATCCTGGACACATCTAACATTTCTTCGGCTTTATTTATAGTTGTATGCAAAAGTTTAAGACCCCCTAAATGACATGTTTTGTTGATTTTCTAAGTGAAAACAAGTAAACACATCCTCAACAGGGAACTTAAATATGGCATTTTCTGCAAATTTTAGTGCACAGTTTTTTTTATTTTAATTAATTAATTAATCAATTATTTATTTATTTAGTTTTTGCTGAGTTTACCATATTGAAAAAATGAAAACATCAAATATACATGTGAAATGTGTAGGTGTATGTAGGTGGGGTGGTGAGAAGGGGAGATGAAATGTGATATTATTGGCTAATGTTGTTTTCCCTGCCTGCTGGCACGCAGTCATGTCATCACAACTCATTTTAGAGGCAGCCAAAAGTCATTATCTTGGAAATCTTGGAGAAACAATTTTGTCTTTTGAATGATATGATGAATATTGCTTTACTTCTTAATGAAGGTGTAAGGACATCCTCAGATATGTTGAATTAATATTATTAAATAAAATATTTTTCCTGTAACACTGTTATCAGATTAACTAGGACACTGTTTGGCTCTCTGGGTGAAATGATGTGACTCTGTGTTGAGCTGCTAGTGTGTGATGAGGAGTGAAAATGGACGCTGTGACAATTCACACCTCTCCACAAAGACGGCCATGCTGAGTACAGCTGACGGTGTGTGATATGAAGTAAGAATGAGGACAGATGGTGCTGCACTGGCCTCTTATTCACAGCTGTGTCCTTCCTTATCCTCAGTTTTTCAATAGTAAACCGCAAAACTGATGAACAAATATTGCATTCACAGATGTAATAATATTGACCTTTACCCCCTGATGAAGGGCAAATGTAGTATTTAACAATAATACACTGAATACATGGACAACTTATTTATTAGCATTTATTATAAAAGTGTAATGTAAGTAATGCATTAAAATGATCTTATTCTGTCTACTTTATTTCATTTTATAGAACATAACAGACCAACTGTCATAGCACTTACTGTATATAACATTTCTAATGGCTTCTTATTCAGGCTTGTTGATGTCTCAAAAAGTGAAACGTGTGGCGTAGTCAACCTTTCTCTATTCAGGTTAGTATCACAAAGATAAACGACTACTTGGCACATTATCCATTGCAAGTTGTATAATTTATGGTTATGATTATGGTTATAATATCCTAAAGGGACATTCCACACACCACCTGATCCATGCAGTTTAAAAACCAAGAGTACTGCACCGACGGGCCAGTTTTTTGTTAAGTACACTCCTTTTTTTATTTTTAAATTTTAGAATTTTATTCAATCTTTTGGGCAAGAACAGCTTATAAATAATTATAGTATTACATTTTACAATACATTCTTATGAAATAAACAATAATATAGTTAAATCTCTACTCTGCTCTACCTTGGATTTAATGTAGCTAAACAGTTTTCTCAGTTATTTTAGAAACAGGTACAGCGCCATTCTGACACATTTCTTAATTTTTTACAGCTTCGTACTAAATATTTGAAACCTGTGACGTACTACTTATACTTACATATCATGGTAAATAACGGTTCTGTGTAGGTACATTTTTGTTCATCAGCTTACAAATAATGTGGTTTTAAGGTCCAACTCTGTACCCTGAATAGATTTTTCCCAGGGAAAAGGTACATATGTACTAAAGCCTATTATTCAGTAACTACTGGGACTTCAATGCAAACTGGCTGAGCTGTTCTTAGGTTACAGAAGTGTGTAATAAAACGTTGGGCCTGCCAGTGTGCCCTGGCCACTTAAGAGGTTAAGGAAACACAGACACCCAAATTCAAGGAAACATGCCGTAGCATATTAATAAATCTAAAACACCACGAGATTGGTGGACACCCAAAGTTTTATTACATACTTCTATAACCCAAGAATAACTCAACCAGTTTGCATTGAACTCCCTGTAGTTACTGAATAATAAGCCTTAGTATGTAATAAGCCTGAGATTTTAAGGGGCTAATGAAAATATACTGATTTATGTGTGTACACCTGTGTTTTGAATGATCTAAAATTATTACTATCAAAACAGTCGCTACTGAAACATTTGGTTTCAGCAGTGTTATGATTGTTTTGGTAGTGACGAAATGGAGTGTTTAATCATTCGTTTTAATAAAAACAAACGTGATTAAGGTATAGGGTCACTCAAAGCAAAAGAACATTAGGCTAAAGTCCAGGTCTAAAGTCCAGGTCTGAAGTCCAATCACCTTTCTTTTCAACTAAGTAATTAAGTATTCAATTAAGTACTCAAATTCACCAATTGACCCTAAAATATAGAGAAAATATATACCTGTTGCATCTCTCATCTTCCCAGGCCCCCTGTCACTGTACCCACCCTCCACTCCTTCTCATGCTACATTGGTTCACACTTTTAAGGAGCAGTAGCAGACTGTTCTGAACAGAAGTTTCTCTTAAAATAAAGGTTCCTAAATGATTCTTGACCTGGATGTTTAGATCTATGAAAAGCCTTTTACTGCTGTAGAACCTGTTACCTAGAGCATAAACCTTCTTCACACTTGCACATCTCATATACAACAATGCTTCTTTAAAGAACCATACAGTTAACGATTCTTCGGGGAACTGAAAGAAGTTCCTCTTATGAGGCACCGCTCCAAAAAGAAGCATATTTATTTTTAAGTGTACAGAAATAGGAGCCTTGGAATACCAACACGAGGATGTATGCTGACCATAGGCTATTCCTGACTGGCTTTACTAATAAAGGGATAAATCCATTCGAGTCATACTGTATAAAAGATACATAACAATAAAAAACTTATAATTACATATGATTTAGTAATGAAATATTACAGTGCATGATCACTAATGTGTACAATAAAAAGAATTGACTAAGTATATCTAGCTTACATTTTTAATGATACATTTGCTAATAAATAATCTTTTCTCTCTTTGAATGCTTCATTATTTTCACTGAATCTGCTTCACAGCCCAGTTGAACAGGCCTCATTCACTGTACCTTGGCGGATGGAGCTGAAGTCTAGTGAGGCTGACTGAGCTGCAGTTTTGTGATCTTGTCCTAAACCTTGGACTTGGCTCCATAAACAGCCACAAGATAGCCACATGCTGTTGTGTTAAACATCACCTGCAGTGCAGCTGTAATTGCTTTTTAAATACGGCGGGAAATGCAGGTGGTCCTGGGGGCCTGGGACCCCCTAAATAACCTCTTGAACCCAGTGAATGTCTCAAAATCTAAATTCTGGGGGTCCCTAAAAATAAGCTTGTTATGACTTTATGCTGTCTGTGGACCCCTGTATCTCAGGCTTATTACATACTAAGGCTTATTATTTAGTAACTACAGGGACTTCAATGCAAACTGGCTGAGTTTTTCTTAGGTTATAGAAGTGTGTAATAAAAACGTTGGGCCTGCTGGGGGTTAAGGAAACACAGACTCAAGGAAATAAGGCGTAGAATGTTTGTACATTTGAAAATTTGCCCAATTTCCCAAAAGACTGGTGGACACCAGTTACTCATTTTTCAAACTGAAGACAAAAGAGGAGATGTGTAAAATCTCAGTCAATGGAATAAATGGTGGAATATCACATGGCCAAACTAGAAAAGAGCATTTCCAGAAGAAGAACTGTTAAACCAAACATTTTTGTTGCTAATGAAGCTAGCATCAGCTCCGCTATAGTGAGGAGTTGGCAGCCAGCCAGAATGGGCCTCCCCAAATAGCAGGGGGTATTCGGTATACTGTGTGTACATTACACTGAAATGAAAGTGAAAGGATGCACAGATTGCTCACTTCAGTAAGCACAATATGAGGTCATACTAGCTTTGCTAGACACAAGAAAAGTATTGCATTAACATGCAGACCCAAGTCTGAACAGCCATACGTCACATAAAATGACTAATCCCTGCTAGAAAACCAGCACAGACCAGCAAAATCAGCATATGTTGCGTTTTGGATGCTGGCATGTTGGCCAACCAGCATGACCACGCCAGGTGACTAGCTAAACCAGCACCAGACCAGCCTAAACCAGATTAGATTAAAAAGGATTTTTTTCAGCAGGGATGCCTCGACCACATTACAGGATATTTA